GTGATTTCTGCTACGAGCGCGAAATTGCAAAAACAAAGCCGGTGCGAAACGTAGACCGGTGGCAAACTAACTAACTAACGACATCGACTCCAATCGCTCACATTTCCTGGCGCGCCGCCTTCGTCTGTGCTAGGAAAACAACCACAGTTCATGTGAGACCCGGCTAGAGGCCGAGTTCCCCGCATTCGTGGGAACGCCACCACCCCCAAGGAGCAAGGCAGCGCATGCGCAGCTTCTTAAGCGGTGGCAGATGAGTAGATCAGACCCACCACCAAAGTGGGTCAAAGCCCGAGAAATCCCACTGGCTGCATCCACACTGGCAAAGCGCAAACTAAAGCCAGCACACAACTGTTCACAGTATCTAGGCAATGTACAGTTGCAGTACAATAGAGTACTGTCGGCTGCTGAAGACACGGAGCGCCGAAGAACAGAGTGCTGAAGAACAGAGTGCCGAAGAACAGAGTGCCGAAGACACGTAGTGCTGAGGAACGGAGTGCCGAAGAACGACCAGGCTAGGATTTCACCAAGCACAGCATACATAGTATTAGTAGTACTGTTCTTTCAATCAAATGAACCCCTCGATAGGTCGATGGGTCATATCGTAATAATAACAATAATACCAAACTTTGAAAGTAAAAAACGGTGACTCAACTGTGCATAGACTGTAATACTTGAAAATAAGAACGGTCAAGGCTAGGAGGCTGACCCTCCAGGTCTTCGGCGACCGGCAGTACTGTAGACAATATAAACGGATGAGGACTTTAGCCAGCGCAAGGCAGGAGAATCTTACCCGCCCATTTCTGCTTTGTCATCTCATCACTGCGAGCTATGGCAGCTGCCCAGTTGAAACTGCATACACAAAGACATACGCGCGCACACACACACACACACGCGCGCGCGCGCGCACACCACACACACAAACACACAGTCATATAAGCACACACACTTGTACTTGTTGCTCACTGCCAAAACTGGTCACGTGGGTCTCCCCAGGAGAGGGGAGAGAGACTCAAAAGGAATCTTGGAAAGATGACTCAATTGGCTAATGAACCGCCCAACGGCCGACACCCCCTGAAATCTCCAAAACTCTGGGTGGGCTTGAAAATGATCCCACTTATGGGCTCACCACACCTCAGTAAGTGGGTGAGGACAAGGTGCACAAAAAGGATTGTCGACATCAGGGTATCCGTCCCGGAATCCAACTGCAGTTGCCCCTGCCCCCAGTGAAGGTAATATTTGCTACTAGTGTGGGTGGCTAAATCAGAGTGGATCTGATATCAGCTTCACTAGCACCATTGATTACACAAGAGTTAATCTAGCCAGAAGCAGTCCATGGTTAACAGGTATGTATACTTCAAATACATAGAGGCAATATGCTTTGGTTCTGCAAGAGTGCTCAATGCCTGATTCAGGCAGAGCGGCGTACGGCTGAAACTCTGAGTCACAACGGAATTAATTTGCCAAGGTTTTCATTGTGTGCCTTTGTGTATACTTCAAATAGAAAGTATGTGAACCCTGGAACCAACAAAGGTGGCAGGTACAACATTACACCTTCAAGTAGCCAAGCCCGTTGGCAACAGACCCAACACAATCAGGCAAAAGTGTACCCACCAACGGAACTAGCACCCCCCCCCCCCCCCCCCCACACACACACACAGGCCAGGCACCCACACGGCACTGCTGTCTTCTTCGCCAGCACGCAGCCTGGCCAGTGACAACTCTTTCGCCACTCACTACCACGCACATGTGATGATGATGTCATTCTCATCATCTCTCTTGTCCTGCCTGGAATACTGTAAACATGTAATTTTAGGTACACTAAAACTTCAGGTTTCAGGTACAATGTAGATTTAGGTGACCAGCGTTCCCTTCACATACAGTGCATACTCTAGTGCCTTTAGGTGTAATTTAAAGGGGAAGTATACCCTAAAATCAAATTTTCACCAGTTGTAGTCTTCGGGGTGCTGAGTCGAATGGTCTTGGTCCGAGGAAGCTGAGACGCTCCCTTCCTACTTGAATCCCAATCGAACTCGCGCACTTCCACCGAAACTGGGTGACTGCGCCCTACTAGATGGGGATTTGTATGCAAAATGTCACTAAAAGCGCCATTTCGTTCTTATAAAAGCACGGATGACCGCGATTGGCCCATATGTTGTAGTCTTTTGGACGCTGAGTCGACTGGTTTTGGTTCGAAAAGGCTGCGATGCAGCGTTCCTCCTTTATTCCCAATCGAACATGGTTGAACAAGCGGTCACGTGCTCCTGCGTACACCAGTCACCGTGCCTGCAGGGTACAACTTACTAGCCTGTTTGACCTTTTTTGGGTGCAGTCCTGTCACTCGAGTTGAACTCGAGTTGAACCTTGGTGTGAAAGTTGTCGCCTGCTGGCGCGGTGACCAGGTGATTTTGGCACCCAGGAGCACGTGACCGCTTGTTCAACCATGTTCGATTGGGAATAAAGGAGGAACGCTGCATCGCAGCCTTTTCGGACCAAAACCAGTCGACTCAGCGTCCAAAAGACTACAACATATGGGCCAATCGCGGTCATCCGTGCTTTTATAAGAACGAAATGGCGCTTTTAGTGACACTTTGCATACAAATCCCCATCTAGTAGGGCGCAGTCACCCAGTTTCGGTGGAAGTGCGCGAGTTCGATTGGGATTCAAGTAGGAAGGGAGCGTCGCAGCTTCCTCGGACCAAGACCATTCGACTCAGCACCCAGAAGACTACAACTGGTCAAAATTTGATTTTAGGGTATACTTCTCCTTTAAATTTAGGTGCCTGGTTTCTTTACCGAAATCACAGAAATTAAAGTTACACCGAAAATTACATGTTTTACAGTATGTGATGATGTCATACGCATCAACATTGTGCCCCGCCTGGACTAGGCGATGATGTCATTCGCATCACCACATTATTGTCCTGCCTGGACTACGCAATGATGTCATACCCATCAACATTGTGTCCTGCCTGGCCTACGCAATGATGTCATTCGCATCACCACATTATTGTCCTGCCTGGAATATTGTGATGCTGCATGGCGGATTGTGATGATGTCACTCTCATCACCTCAAGTCCTCCATTGAGCTATTAAACTACAGCAATCATTCATGCAGTCAGCAAAGAAGAAGCCTGACGCTTGCACGTGATCAGAACAGCAAGGAATGACGCTGGACAAACCAACAGGCAGACAGCGCGCTAGAAATCTGACTTGGAGGCAAAAGAAAATGTTGAACGGCCTGTGCTTGGACGACAGCTACACCATAGCTCAGTGGCTAGTTAGAGGATCGCTGGCCTCAAGCGAGGGTCCCTGGTTCGAGTCCTGGTGGCGACAGTCAATTTTTTCTTCAGACTTGTCCCGTTTCCATTCCGTCAACTAGTGACTAGAGGCATCTACGTAGTAGAAACCTCCCTCTTGTACGGGCCAGATAATTCTGCATACTGTTAAACATGTAATTTTCGGTGTATTAAACTTTATTTTCGGTGATTTCGGTACAGAAAGCAGGCACCTAAATTTAAATTACACCTAAAAGGCACTAGAGTATGCACTGTATGCGAAGAGAAAGCTGGTCACCTAATTCTACATTACACCTGAAACCTGGCAGGTTCCTGGCACCGAAATTTTAATGCACCTAAAATTCCAGGTTTTACAGTACCATCAACAAACTCGCGTACGGCTGCAGTAAACTATAAAAATCAATTTAACCCTTTCACGGTCTCAAACTATCGTAACTCGTAACTCAGTCAATTTATGAGCAAATTCGAACATCTAAATATCTGGGTTGAAGAGAAAGCTCCGGGCTATCCGTAGGAACAATCGCCGAAGCGATAGAGTGAACGGCTGCGATGCTACGAAGCTCGCGATCTGCGTCACGGCTCATTTGCGATTTGAGTGGGCGAGCTGGGTCTTGAGGACGGGTTTTCCCTTTGCAGCTGGCTCTCGCCATAGAGACACGGATTCAAATTTGAGTACGGACTCGCAGCACTCCTCACAAAAAAATGCGAGCTCGATGTGAGCAAGGAGAGGGAAATGGCTGTTGAATCTTGTTTCTCGTCGTGAATCAAGCACTGGGGCGATGTCGCTGCGCTGCAGCGCTGGATCCACGACACGCTTGGTGTCGAATTGTAGCTCGGCGTGTTGCTCGTGTCCAGAGCTTTCCAGAGAGCCCAAGATCACGAAATCAGCGAAGGGAAACTGAAGTTATGGATGAATCAAGGTACGAAATTGTTGAATTCTGTAAATAGCCTCATTTTTAACTGAATTCTGAGACCGTGAAAGGGTTAATCCAGCTGCGGACAGAACTGTTTCGTCCGTTGTGGACTCGTCAGCGCAGTTTTAAGTCCTAGCAAATCAATTGGGGTTAAGCTTACTCAGGATTACGTGCCTTCTGACTGCCGACCGTGGAGGCGGGTGGCGCGGGGTTGAAGTCAATGCTACCGTTGGTGCTGCTGCTGCTGCTGTTGGTGGCAGTGACCGCTAGGATGCTGTCCGGATTACTGCTGATGAACCCTTGCCTACTACTATTGCCAAATCCACCAACGCCACCACTGGTGTTGGTGGGGACGGCGTGGCTGGACGCCTCGCCAGTACTGGCCGCGCCCCAGCGATCGCCGCGAGCCCCGGAGGAGATGGTGGAGCCGAAGTTACTGCCGTCGAATCCGCCGCCACCGCCGCCGCCAGCGCCACCACTGGATGGAAACCCGGGCGGGCCGCCGCCGCCACTGCCTGCAGTTGATACAATCAACAAGGAACACATCAAGGAAGGGAACGCGTGTGAAGAGTGCAGGTATAAATACTAGTAATACATGCGTGTACGTGAACTGTAGGCACATGGCTTCCAAATCACCATTTACGTCAAGACTGCGTCCCCGCCAGCTACCGGCGATGTGTTCACCAAACACAGCCGATCCTGAGGGTTTGTCACCGCCGATGATTTATCTCAAATCACACAAGTGACCGTTAGCCATCAGTGAGACCACAAGTCATTGCAAGAGGTCTGTCCACACCAGGGTGGTACGGCGGGTTCCATGAAAGCATCTAGCTCCCTAACTTACCACCTGCCACTGCGGCATCGATCATTTCAATCGCCTTGCTGCGAGCGGTACTGCTTCCGCTGATTATGATTGGAGTCGTGGTGCCGTTGGAGCCGTCGCGGTTCACCTGCAAGTATACACAAGGACACACACGAGGATACAAGGACATGTGCATGCACCCACGCCCCCACACCCACGCACGCATACACATACCCCCCCCAACACACACACACACACAGAAACAAGTGCATACAGTCATGCATTAATGTCCACTGAGCGGTAAGGTTAAGATTTCTAAATAACTCAATCTACCAAGTAGCACAGGTGTCGAGAATACCATTTTAATGTTTTTTTTTCTTTCACATTCAGTGCTGCAATCATCGATGTTAGTAAAAGTAAAGTAAATGATCGTGTCCGTTCCCGGAAGGGAACTCACGACGGCCGCTAACACCCGGTAAACCCTAGCGGCAGATGCAGCGCCTCACGGTGGGGGTGAGGGGATAAGTCTCACAACCACCGGCACAAGTGTCGAGAAACCCCATTAGCCGCGTCCATGTACCCCTTGTGCCTGGCCACAAGTTCACAGTTGACTGTGGATAGCAGCATGGCTGGAAAAACCGCTCCCAGGCAGGACTTGAGCCAGGTACCTCTCGTATCTCAATCATGGTCTTTGACCAACCCACTGTGCCTGCCTGGCACCGTACTTCCCAAACAATAAGTCGCACCCCCACTTTGACGTTTGACACACATACCATACTCACTCAATTAGAAGCCGGGGTTTCTATTTTTTCAAAGCCAGGTTTGGGGGGGGGGGGGGAGGCTTCTATTCAGGAGGGGCTTTTATTATTCCAAACCCGTAATCCACTCAAAATTATTTATTTTTTTAAACGAGAAATTTGAATTAAAGGGGAAGTTAAGGCAAAAATTAAAATTTTACCAGTTGTAGTCTTCGGGGTGCTGAGTCGAATGGTCTTGGTCCGAGAAAGCTGAGACGCTCCCTTCCTACTTGAATCCCAATCGAACTCGCGCACTTCCACCGAAACTGGGTGACTGCGCCCTACTAGATGGGGATTTGTATGCAAAATGTCACTAAAAGCGCCGTTTCGTTCTTATAAAAGCACGGATGACCGCGATTGGCCCATATGTTGTAGTCTTTTGGACGCTGAGTCGACTGGTTTTGGTCCGAAAAGGCTGCGATGCAGCGTTCCTCCTTTATTCCCAATCGAACATGCTTGAACAAGTGGTCACGTGCTCCTGGGTGCCAAAATCACCTGGTCACCACGCCAGCAGGCGACAACTTTCACACCAAGGTTCAACTCGAGTGACAGGACTGCACCCAAAAAAGGTCAAAACAGGCTGTAAGTTGTACCCTGCAGGCACGGTGACCAGGTGACTGGTGTACGCAGGAGCACGTGACCGCTTGTTCAACCATGTTCGATTGGGAATTAGGGGCGAACGCTGCATCGCAGCCTTTTCGGACCGAAACCAGTCGACTCAGCGTCCAAAAGACTACAACATATGGGCCAATCGCGGTCATCCATGCTTTTATAAGAACAAAATGGCGCTTTTAGTGACATTTTGCATACAAATCCCCATCTCGTAGGGCGCAGTCACCCAGTTTCGGTGGAAGTGCGCGAGTTCGATTGGGATTCAAGTAGGAAGGGAGCGTCTCAGCTTTCTCGGACCAAGACCATTCGACTCAGCACCCCGAAGACTACAACTGGTGAAATTTTAATTTTTGCCTTAACTTCCCCTTTAAGTGCAGTTTCAATACATGCATATACCGTATATTATTATAAGCGCCGTGCTTATATTTTTTCAACACCCCTCTACCCCGTGCTTATATTGGAGACCGTGCTTATATTTTTTCAAACAATACGTCCATACAGAGCAAGAAGAAATACATGCTATATATCATGCATGCAGCATTGATTTCCACCAAGACCGTGCTAATAATAGAGACTGTGCTTATAATGTTTCGAAAGGTGCTCACAGTGTGCTAGTATTAGAGACTGTGCTAGTAATGGAGACCTGTGCTTATAATAGAGAATATACGGTAAGTAGGACATCACACTCAATGGCAAGTCGCATCCCGGGGGATTCCCCTTCTTTGCCCTCGAAATTAGTGTAAAAAAGGCGTGACTTGCACTGTATACGCAGAAACATTCGTCTGGAATTAAATTTCGTCTTTTTCGTCCAGGGAGCTTCTGGAATAAAATAAATGCCGGACTAATGTCGGTTTGTCCAGCTTTTCAATACACTCCATGGACGCAATTTACAACCGGACGAACTCCCTTTCTTTGGACTTGGACGAAATTACTGACCGGCGAAATTTTCTGCCTGTACAGTATTCGGGGAAACAGGGTATGCAACATAGCTGAGGTGGCCCATCAATTGCCAACGGGGGGTTGAGGGAGTATGAAGTTGGTGACCTACCTTGACACGAGCACCGGAGGAGTCCTCAATTTCACGAATCTTGGAACCACCACGACCTGACCACCGTCGCCATCAAAACAACAATGACGACAGCACCAACATCAACAACAACAAAAACAACAACAACAACATCAACAACAACATGCAGCACCAGCAAAGGCAGCAGCAGCAGAAGCAGCACCAGCAAAGTCAGCAGCAGCAGCACCGAAACAGAAATCAATTGATACTTTGGCCTGTGTGTGACACCTTGATGGCGGACTGAAAGACCAAGGTGCAAACTTGTTCACAGAGCAAAGAGTATTACAGTCATACATGCACAATGATGATTATGCAGTTGGTATGGAGAAGCAGACCATAGCAGAATGTCAGAATGTGTTGTTGCTGCTGTTGTTGTTGTTGTTGTTGTTGTTGTTGTTGTTGTTGTAATGGACATACCGATGACAAGACGAATGCTGCTGCTAGCCACATCCACAGTCTCTGTCTCTCCGCTGGACGGCTCAGCATGCGTGGATGCACCGCCGCCGAATCCACCGCCGCCACCAGCACCAGCACCAGCACCAAATCCACTGCCAACCGAATCGGATGTGTTTCCAAAACCACCACCGAAACCACTACCGATGCTACCGGTGCCACCGCCGAAGCCACCACCACCACCACCACCAGTGTTGCCGCCGGCGGCACGGCGATCTGAATGGAGAAGCCAGCACAAATAGAATAGAAAATCCATCAAGAGATCAGTGGCATGCACCAGCTTACTGCACTGTATGACGATATACGCAATAGTGCCAAGCTGGAAAAAATAGAGACTGACAGAGAGAGGTGGGGGGGGGAGGGAGAGAGAGGTGGGGGGGGAGAGAGAGAGGGAGAGAGAGAGAGAGAGAGAGAGAGAGAGAGAGAGAGAGAGAGAGAGAGAGAGAGAGAGAGAGAGAGAGAGAGAGAGAGAGAGAGAGAGAGCGAGCGAGAGAGCGAGAGAGCGAGAGAGAGAGAGAGAGAGAGAGAGAGAGAGAGAGAGAGAGAGAGAGAGGAGGAGGAGGAGGAGGAGGAGGAGGAGGAGGAGGAGGAGGAGAAGGAGGAGGAGAAGGAGGAGGAGAAGGAGGAGGAGAAGGAGGAGGAGAAGGAGGAGGAGAAGGAGAAGGAGGAGAGAGGAGGAGGAGGAGGAGGAGGAGGAGGAGGAGGAGGAGGAGGAGGAGGAGGAGGAGGAGGAGGAGGAGGAGGAGGAGGAGGAGGAGAGAATAATTACTAGACCTTTGCAGAAGGAGATTGAACTGACTACATGCGCAAACAAATTGTTCTACCGTATTTTCCAAAGTATAGGCCGCACTAGAAAATAAGCCACAGCCAGATTGTTTGTCATGAAATACAGACATCCACCCTGTATATCACAGTTCAGTTGACCACAGTTGACCAATCTCGGCCGCAGTGGCACCTGAAAACCCGAGGCATAGGTTTAGGCGGCTGGATGGTGTTGCATCCAGCCGCCTAAACCTATGTCTCGGGATTTCAGCACACACACACACACACACACACACACAAACTAGTACCATGATAGCACAAGATGCGAACACTCATTAGTTTGAGGGGAAGATGCAAACGGGAAAAGTCTGAAGAAATAAACCGACTGTCACCACCAGGACTCGAACCAGGAACCCTCGCTTATGGCCAGCGATGCTCTACCGCTAAGCTAAGGATGTAGTCGTCATCCAAGCAGCGCCTGTTCAACATTTCTTCAGACTTCAAGATGCAAACTGAGCACATACCATTGGCTAGCATATCCTTGATCTTGGCCTCGGCCTGCTCGACATTAGAAGCAGCACCGGTGACTGTGACCGATGTAGACGTGCCGTCATCCGTGCTCCTGTCAATCTGTACAGATCATCACCGACATTATGCAACACAAGGCACAGAATAAGCCCATGCCCTACCCAGACGCTCACGTGTGCACGGATCGACCGACATACAGGAAGACGTGCCCGCCTGACGTTACGGCTGAGATGCTACAAAGGCGTGAGCGTGTGTGTGTGTGTTGTGCAGGCTTTTGCGAGCGTGTGTGGGCATGTGTGTATGTAAGACTATATGAAATGTGTGCTGCACGGCGAAATTGCTAAGTCAAACAACACTAAACGGGCAAAGACAAAACAAAGACAACGGGAGAAACGCAAAACGCGCTGCATAGCGTGGAATACAGCCGTCTCATCGAATTCTGAACTGGTGTGGATGCAAGGCGATGCAATGGACTTGCAAGTACGCTCCCACAAGTTTACGGACTGCATTGCAAGGTACATGCAACGGTGAAACCTGTCTAAGACGACCACTCAGGGGACCTTCAAAACGTGGCCTCTGTTACCAGGTGGTTACCTTATCCAGGGTCGTTTGATTGGAAATAGCATGCCTAGATTCTGGTTTCAGTGGTCTTCTAGGGCAGGCGGTCGCCTTATCCGAGTGGTCGCCTCGACAGGTTTTACTGTCCGATCATTACAGAACTAGAATGTTGGTCTGCACCCCAAGGCCATAGGCGAACGCAGCACCCAGATATTCCGAGGATTTCCTAGAGTAGAACCCGGGTTAGGGATCCACCTAACTCTGCGCGGACATAGCTGGACTCAGTTGTACAGGGATGGGCAAAAAGGTGTGCAAAACGACTTTTTGTGAGTAGATGGACCCCGGAAAAATAGTTTGGAGTGAAACAAATTACGGCTTCGTCGGAAACCCACGATTTATCGTTTCCTTTTTGGCCTTGTGGTTATGCATGCTGTCTGCTGACCATGAAGTTGTGAGTTCAAATCCCAACAAATCTTCAAATCAAACATTTTTTCTTCATTTTTTCATTGTTTTGGTGATCACGCTGGTAGAGGCGACGGTTTCAAATAGGACACAGGTTGCAAACCGGAACGGACTCAATATTCACTTTCTCTCTTGGTATTTTGATTAAAACATATGTCACAGTGAGACTACGATGTGTTATACTCCGAGCCAAAATTTCATGGCTCTGCGATGACCAGAAGCGCCATATCAAGCAGGTGAGTTTTTGACGTGTTGCTTCGCACTGCGACTTGAGTTTTACGACTTTCGAAAAATCAACTTCTTGTCGCAGGTAAACAGCGGCTCGCCTCTCGCCAATAAAGCACCGCATACCAATCAAAACTAATGGAAGCACACACAAGGCTTATTGTTACTCTGTACTGGCCGTCGTGGAGCGATCGCAATTACCTAATTTCAGACCCAGAGTGAATTTGACGTGCACTCTAAAACGTGTCCGGTTTGGAGCCACCTCTGATTTGAACTTTTTTGAAGCGAAAAATTGGGCAACTTGGAGGCAATGGGTCAACACAAAGGAGTGGCTCAGTTCGATTGACTCTGGCCCCAGAGCAAACTTGAACATGCCAGTTTCCTTCCACAAACATATTTCGAGTGAAAAATCAACGCTGATGATCGGCTTGGGTCTATACAAATTTGGCTGTCAAAGCGTCCCGGTATCGAGCCGTCCCCTCTACAAGACAAAGAAGGTGGCTGCGCCAAACGACTTGTTGTTGGAGCTCGCGTTTCCTGCCGAACTGACTGACACTTGACTGGCTCACGCCATTTGAAGTTGTGAACACACACAACACTGAAACCGTGTGAGTGAACACGGAAGTCATTGCGCTGTAGCTTCGTGTTGTTGAATACACCGGCACATCGATCGATTTCTGTTTGAGAATTATTTTAGTAATTGAGATCGCTAATTTATTTGAATTTAGGAGTCAACGCCGTCTTCTATCAGCTTTCACAGGCGTCTGCTTTCAAAAAGTCGTCGAAGTCACACGGATAGCTCTGCCACTTCAAGGCCTTGGGAATGAGTCTGTGTCAATGCCGTTTTCGTCACATCGTGAGAGTAAATTGCATCCGCGGCAGCTCAAAGAATCGATTTGGTCACAAAACGGACGCATCCCGCTCGTCAAAATTTACCACACTTTCGACATGTCCTCTCTGACTCCATATCGATGCGAGGAAGAACTCGTTTGTTGTAAACCAGACGACCATGTACGAGTACCAATGAGTGAGTAGTCGTTTTTCATGCTTTCGCGCGGAATATTTCTTCGAGTTCACAGTGAGTTTTTCCAGGCAGCGCTCATACGGTAAGACGGCAAACTCCCCGAGCGATCGCCAGGATTGCTAATCTTTTTGAAACTGACTATAGACAATGGTACGTCCTACACCCTGTGACTGCTAAGCGCTTTGATTTGTATTCCCTAACCATCTATAGTCCATTCATAAAAAGATGGGTCTTTGCTCTGGCGAGCTCCCGTATTTAGCGATTTTTCGTGATATTATCGTACACAGTGCTGCGAAATTTGAAATTTGAAAAAAGGTCCAAAAAGGGTACCCGAGCTGGGGTTCGAACCGCACGATGCACTGTTGAAGGCGGGGTCAAACGGCCTGGATTTTGATAGTTTTTCCCAATTCAGTGCTTTTGGGGCAAAGCCCGGCCGAAATCCTATTCTTGTTAGGGCTTGCTTTTCGAACAAATAGACTTCAGAAACATAATTGGAAGAGGATTCCATAGGGGGCTGAAGAAATTTTTTACAAAACTCAAAGTTTGACCCATTTATGGCCAAAAGCTAGAAGTCCATCTTTTTATGAATGGACTGTAAGGAGCGCCCAACGCATCACCGCACAACGCCCACTAACCTGAATGTCGGAGCAGAACTGGTCTCTCAACGAGCGGATGGTTGCACCTTGCCGTCCTGGTAAGGAGAAACGAAACGACGCACACAAGAAGAGAGTGCAGCGCCAGCACACATGCACCCACATCGCCACGCCGGCAGGGGTAGAAAGGCAGAGCACAATTAAGGATTCTGGTCTCATCGATGTCTAAAAGCCTCGGGATTTTCGTTGTTAAAATTCAAAACTTTAAACACACACACACACACAGACACACACCTCACCACCACATACTCTGGCATGCACTGGCTGTTGGCAGCCACCTAGGAGAATGAAAGAAGCACCCCCCACCCCACACACACCTGTCGGAAGGCTACCTACCCTCTTGCCAAAGCATTTTGGAAGTTGGACTAGTTTCGGCTCCACAATCCAGTGTGTCGTTACTATAATTATAGCTTTCATGGCTGAGGTTGTTGGTACGTCTGTTGGCCCTGGGTTCCCAGTACCCAGTTGCCGAGGCTGGTTGGTAAAATAACTCCAATTTCACTTCAAGGTACCAGTGCATCTAGTGTCTGCTTTTATCAAAGCAGCGTGCTGTCTATACTGGTTACCCCAGCAAGTGTAGGGTGTGCATAGGTAACTGTCTTGGTCGTCCTATTCCGATGTACTCCGTGTGGTGTAGACCAGGTGTGCATTGGGGGGTCGATTCACATGGCTTTGCCAGTTGTGTGGATTAGACAGTTATCTGGCGCTTGTCTTGATCTGTTTCAATCAGAATCAGATCCGCTATCGTTGTTATAAAGAGAAAATCTGTGGGTGCACATCCAGTGCATTTGCAGATTTGCGTGCTTCTCTTGCGACGGGCGTTACATGGTGTGTGTGTGTGGGGGGGGGGGGGGGGGGGGGGTGCTTCTTTCACACACATACATATACACACGCACGCACCCACGCACGCACACAGCCCCCCCCCCCCCCCCACACACACACACACAGCCAGCCAGTGGTCCCTCTAAAGGGTGATCCAGACATGTAATGCCACTGCTGGCACTAGTGTTGAAACGAGCGTATCTATAACAAACGAGCGATCAGTTCCACTAACGAGCAAGCTATCGAGCGAGCTAACGAGTTTCATTGATGTGGCAAATATGATTTTTTGAACAATTTTTTTTCTAAGTTCAATTTTTTCAGCTGGTTCAAATAATTATCACCGCCGGCATTTGGGGTTGCTGCTGCTTCACTTCGGACTGCTGTTTGGTGTCGAGATGTCTTTTCAGCGCCGTCGTCGAGTAGCCTTTGTAAGAATAGACCGTTTTGCAAAGATTGCAAGTAGCCCTGGTCTTCGCTGCATCGCGGGAGAAAACTTCCAAACGACTGAGCGTAATTATTTACTTTCACTCGAATGGAGAGGTGACCGAAGCATATCCTGCGACAGGTCAGCAGATGCGGAACAAGACATCAGTAGAGTCCACCAAAGCTGCAAGTGCAACGACTATTGTCAACTCAAGTGTCATGATTTTCACTTTGCGCGGGACTGGACTCTCGATCGACCAGGGAGTCGTAAAATATTGTACGACTCCCCGGTCGACATGTACTGCCATGTGTACGGAGTGCAGTGTACGGTGTTCGTTAGTGCAAACGAGCTGGCCGCACAAACGAGCCGAGTTTCTGGCGAGCGAGCTAACGAGTATCCGGTGAGATCGTTTCAACACTAGCTGGCACACTGACAACTCACCAATGATCAGGCCTAGTGAAACATTGGGAATGCGGAAAGTGGTACTGCCTTGCTCTCCTCCATTGTCACCACCTCCAAATCCACCACTTGAACCACCTCCAAAGCCAGCGCTCGCGCCACCACCAAATCCACCAGCAGAACTGCCACCAAATCCACCACCTGAGCCACCACCGAAGCCGCCACTTGGGCCACCACCGAAGCCGCCACCAAACCCCCCACCAGCGTTGCCTCCGGCGCTGGATCCTGTGCAGTGGGAAAAGTAGCAAAACATGCATGTTCCCCAGCACACGTAAGTGCACACACATACACACACACGAACACATGCGCACATACACACACACGAACACGTGCGCACATACACACACATATACACACAAAACTAAACATTGATGCACATACACACACACACAACAATATACATGGTGGGGATGACGGCCTGGCAAGGGCGAAACTTCCTAAGCTGGCTGCCTGTCTCAACACAGTTGCATAGCCGGCGGTAATGCGGGTTTGCAAACTACATTACCTTTGCACATGTGCCGGCAATACAGTGCAAGTGCTTAGACTACAGCCGGCATAGAACTGACGACATCAAAAATACTCTGGCCAGAAGGTATACTGCAACAACATAGTGTAGTTTAAAAGGATTGATGTCTCGACAGTCCACAGTACTGCCAGGCGCCGAAGAACGGACGAGCTAGCATTTCACTAAGCACAGCATACCAATGTATACACGGTGGCTGAACGGTACATACTCAGTAGACTGTAGTACTGTAAAACATGTAATTTTAGGTGCATTAACCCTTTACTGTCCGATTAAAATGTATACAAGCCCACGCAACCACAAAATCTGAAACTAAAATTAGACGTAACTTTGGTTTGAATTTGACGATTTCCACGATCTTGGGCATCCTGGAAAGGTCTTGACGAGACGAACGCAATGAGCCCACACTCGGCGCCACAGGATGCACTGGTCCAGCGCTGCAAGCCAGGGAACGCGCAAAAGCGCTGAGCTCACGCTCGAGATCGATCTCAATCCACCATGTCACCCCTGTTGCTCGTATCGAGCTCAAATATTTTCGTAGAGACTCCCGGGAACCTACTTTTGAATTAGAATCGGTGTAGCCTTGCCAACAGGTGACGTAAACAGGGAAAATCCCAGCCGTCGACATGCGCGTCGCGCTCTGAACGCACATTTCCCGGGATCAGAATTACGAGTGCGATAACTCAGCAACCGCTCTTCGTATCGCTTCGGGAATTGTTCGAGGCGACAGCTGAGACTTTTCTCTTCGACCTACATATTTCGATCTCTCCAAAATACCTAGATTTGAGCAAGTTACGATAATTTCAAAATGCCTACCCCATCGACCCCATTGGATCGATGCTTGTATGTACGGACAGTAAAGGGTTAAAATTTCGGTGCCAGGAACCTGCCAGGTTTCAGGTGTAATTTAGAATTAGGTGACCAGCTTTCTCTTCACATACAGTGCACACTCTAGTGCTTTTTAGGTGTAATTTAAATTTAGGTGCCTGGTTTCTCAACGGAAATCACCGAAATTAAAGTTACACCGAAAATTACAAGTTTTACAGTATATGAAAATAAGAACGATCTAGGCTAGGAGGCTGACCGCCCAGGTCTTCAGCGACTGACAGTACTGATAACAACAGAGCACAAACTGACTTTGCCAATGCCAGAACCACACACTAGCCGGAAAACCAGAAGGCTACTTTCAGCGACTGACAGTACTGATAACAACAGAGCACAGACTGACTTTGCCAATGCCAGAACCACACACTAGCCGGAAAACCAGAAGGCTACTGATGGGGAGCCGGGAAATGGAATCCAAAATGTGAAAACTCAACGATGACAACAAAAACATAGACGACACACGCGCGCGCTCACACACACACAGTCATACACACACACACACGTGTGCACATGCCCACACACATACACACACACAAACACGCACACTGACCTGCGATGACTTCATTGATCATGCGCTTGGCAGTGTCAATCTGCACGGGACTACCTCGCAGCATGATCGACGCCATCGGGCCTTGAGTATTCCGATCAAGCTGTTGTCGAGATAGGAAGGGAGTGAGATATGGGAGAAATAGAGAGAGACGAGAGAGAGACGGGAGAGAGAGAGAGAGAGAGACGAGAGAGAGACGAGACGAGAGAGACGGGACGAGACAGATGAGACGAGACGGAAACAATAGAAAATAAAGAGCACGGAAGGGAAGAACATGGCAGTGAGCTGGATGACAAACTTGATTAGGGCCAAAGAATACATTCACCCTGTCCTACTACTACTGCTGTACTGAGAAGGTGACTGACATGCCATTCCCAATGCAATACCACCCTAGGTAGATCCACAACTCCATAGAAGCTGATCACATAATACCGGATGTCTTGTCCTTTTCAGCTGGCACACCAAACCATCATGGCAGCCATCAACAGAACGTGCTGCATACTGAAACTGCACACCAGGTGGTGTTGTTGTTGTTGTTGTTGATTGGAATGGATTCGGACTTCATCTAGTATTTGCCTCCAAAACAACAGCTATGACAAATGTATCAGACATCGTCACCAAAACAGTGCTACAGTCCATTCATAAAAAAATGGGCCCTGGCTCTGGCGAGCTCCCGTATTTGGCGATTTTTCGTGATTTCATCGTACAGTGCAGCGAAATTTGAAATTTGAAAAAGGGTCCAAAAGGGTACCTGAACTGGGGTTCGAACCGCACAATGCATTGTTGCAGACGGGGTCAAACGGCCTGGATTTTACGTTTTTTCCCAATTCAATGCTTTGGGGGCAAAACCTGGCCGAAATCCTATTCTTGTTATGGCTTGCTTTTTGGAGAAAAAAACTTCAGAAACATAATTGGAAGAGGATTCCATAGGGGATTGCAGAAAAAATTCTAAAAAAACTCAAAGTTTGACCCATTTATGGCCAAAAGCTAGAAGTCCATCTTTTTCTGAATGGACTGTAGGCGCTGAAAGGTCTCAGCAAACTACAAACACTAAGCTCTGCTCCGAAGCTAGCTGCAGCATACAGGTCTCTACGGCATTAGATTTCAACTCCAACAATTGAAAATTGCCGTCTTCGCATCCTAGTACAGTGCTGGGCAGAGAAATCCAACCTCATGAATAAAGTAGTGTTGCGCTAGAGTGCACAGGCCAGTATGTGCAGTGCTAGGGCTGCGTAGCGCCCGGCAACGCTATTATTCATGAGGTTGGATTTCTTTGGACCGCACTGTAGACGAACGTATGTTCCTATGGAGCGGGCACTGCACCACCACATAGACCTGGTACAACACATGGGAACAGCAGGGGGTGGGAGTAGAGTGGCTTCACGTATTATCACATGACCATACGGGACAGCCGTGCTGGTTCCAACTCCCCCCCCCCCCCCCCCCCCCCCCCAAGTGAAAGAAATCGTAGAAGATTCACGTGGAGAGCCAAGGATTAAAATGAAAAACAAGGACCAAAGGTGACATTGGATTATTTCTTCAGACTTTTTCCCTTTTCCATTCCCTCAGCTTATGAAAAGGACCAAAGGCTTACATAAGCAGTGTTGCCACATCATTATAGCCAAATATCAGTAGACTGAAAAAAATAAAATGCCCCCCCCCCCCCTCATAGTAACCCTAATATATCGTAGAATCGAGCAAATAAACCCACCCGCGCATAAGCCTAGGCCAAGTTCGAACATCGCCAAGCTTCGTTGTACAAACCCACCAGCGGGATTCTACAGTGCACACGATTTCCCCCAGACAGCTGATGTTTGTATTGTAGGAGAGAGCTCTATGGAAACACTCGTAATGAGCAGTAAAAGCCAAAATTCTGGACCATGACTTCTAAACCAAGCACAAAGGTCAAGTTTGGACACTTTCACGGCTGTTGTCGGCAGGAGACGGTCAATTGTCGGCAGGTCGTGACAGGCCCCAAAAATCGGCAGGCTACTGACATGTCGGCAGGTGTGGCAACACAGCATAAGTATTATCAGAAGTTTGTCGCACACAAAAACTAACAAAATGTGAGTACCACATCGGGTACAGCACATCAGCTATCATTGTGCTAACTGTTGCACGTTCTGACTCATCAGCATCTTTCTCATAGTTGTTAGTAGCCAGTGCAGGCTGTCGTAATAAAACGACTCATCCGTGTTCCATTCCCGTGCATGGTACATGCATGGTGCGACGGCACAATGACAGCTGTCGCAAATCACACTATTACACGTGTTTTTTGGTGATTCCTGGTTAGCTGCTAGCTTTTCCCTACTCGAAGATGTTGCCGCCGCGAAATCTGGGGGTTTGTGTTCGTCCTGGCGAAAACCGTGTTTTGATCCGTTGAGGGAGACGAGAGATACAGTGCGAAGACGTACGATCTGTCTGAGAATCGGCGAAGAAGAAAGCTTCGCAGATGACCCGTAGTGGTTGGGAACAGAATGGAACATATACCAGTCGATGCCTGTCATGGTAGGGATGACTGCTACGGAGTTTTAGCCCCATGCTCCCCAGCGCTTTTTAGCGCCCGACGATAATTACCAAATTTCATCGATTTTCCATGTGGATCAAAGCATAGTCTCCTCAATCTTCTCCAGTCGAGCTGAGTCTGGACGCTACAATGTCGAGACGCGAAAAGAGAACATGCATGAACACACAGGAGCATCACATGCAGCTGCATTCTGCCTTGACGAAGCTGAGAACAACACCAGCACCACGCATTTGGAAGACATTTCGAAGAAGATGAAGAACTACATATCTGCGTTCAAAAAAGCCTCTGTACTGTGCAGTATGCATGCGTGCATGCGCGAAGCACGGGGTCCGCGGATCAACTTCGTTCAAAAATCATTGTGCCACACGGGTTGTATGATTTGTGTGCGATCATGGCCTTTCTTCTTGACAAACAAAACTGAAGTTTTTCGATCTTCAAATCGCCATAGCGTCCTTGTCATGACTCCAAATCAGCTGAAACTTTGCAGGAGGAATGAAAATGCCATGCTGAATCGATTGGTACCATTTTCGAAGGGTTTCCTTGAAAACTAAAATTTAGCCTGCACTGGCTATTGTTAGTGGTGGACAAACTACGGATAACATGATTGTACGCCTTTGCTCCTTTCTTTTTAATTTTAAATAAAGCAAATTACCGTATAAAAAAAAAATTAAAAAAGCAAAATCAGGAAAAAACCTTGGCGGCACAAAGTTGGAAACAAGCAACATTTACTGTTGCCTACCTGGATTCTTGCACCGCTGGTTTCCTCCAGCTCTCGTATCTTGGATCCGCCGCGGCCTAATCACACGCACCACACATCAGAGCAATATTTACACACAAAAAATACTCAACACAAACATTTTTGAGTGTTTTTACGACCACTCGACTCCATTGCAATGACTTGTTTGCAGCAGCAAATATTTCCACCCCCCACACTCGCTGGCTCTATGTCGCACTCTAGAGAACAATTTCTGCTATGGCGCCCGTTGGCCATCATCGGGGTACTAAAAAAGTAAAATGTGTTATACTGAAATGAAACTGTGGGAAAATTGAGATCATCAGACCATCGCTTTGAACATAATGCAGCAGTCAGAGATGCTCCAAGCTTGCCAAAAACTTACCTACAACAAATCGAACATCCTTGGAGGCAATTTCCATGGTGGTACCTCCATCGGAGTTGCCAAATCCGTCGCCAGGAGCATTGCTTCCAGGTCGAGGAGTCGGTCCATTGGCAGATATCCTGCCCCGGCCTCGCCCGACGCCTTGAACGCGGGGTCCGCCGCCAAATCCTTCCATTTGGCTATTCCTTCAAGGAACAGCACCACTCTTGAAGAACAGCAGCTGTTCGGGGCCTAGCAGAAGTGAACAGGTGAGGCGTGAGTGCACTAGTAGCCACTACAAAGAAAGAACTAGTCGAACTCAACAACTCAACACTGACTGTCTCACAATAATAAAAGCTGAAAGTGGCGAAAGGAATCAGATCTTGCATGCATGCGAAGGTTCCACGCTTCTACACAGCTGTGCAGACAGTTTGACTTCGACTCGTTCGAGTAGTTGGTGGCCCACGTGCACGTAGATCTACGTGCTCACCAGCAAAAAAAAAACAAAAAAAACTAATAAACCTAAAAAAAATTAATTCCTTCCGCAACATGTCATGGGCAAAGGAAAATCGTACAGATCAAAGAGTACGGTACGACTACGGGAGAGAAAATGGCGTACACACTTTTTGAAATGCGTAGATTTTTAAAATACATGTAGTACACCATAGTCATGTACTACATGTAGTATGTTCTCCAGAGCAGGGAGACCTACGCATACGTATGTTCTCCAGAGCAGGGAGCCCTACACATACCATCAAGAGTACATGTATAACCCCCCCCCCCCCCCCCGGGTGGGGGGTGTTATTTATTTATTTATTTATTTATTTATTGCAGCATCTCATAGCACAGTGAGAACACCGGCCAATCCCACTCAATCCCCATGCACCAGTCTTCTTACCTCGCATCTATCGTACCCAACCCTGCTCAACAGCAGCCACGACCTTGTTCCCACTCAACCCCCATGCACCAGTCTTCATACCTTGCACCTATCGTGCCCAACCCCGCTCAACAGCAGCCACGACCGTGTTCCCACTCAATCCCCATGCACCAGTTTTCATGCCTCGCACCTATCGTGCCCAACCCCACTCAACGTTTGTAAGAGAACAACCTCCACCTCAGTCCTGATACCACACCAGTAAACGCATCCCCCCACAACAATAACAATAATTCTTGCATTCGGATATGTACCCTGAACTGTCGTAGTATGAAACATAAACTGGCTGATATTACAGACCTCCTTGACCACCATAAAGTAGACATTTTGTGTATAACGGAAACGTGGCTAAATTCGTGCATCCCAGACGAGATCATTAAGATACCAGGTTACGACCTGTTCCGTCGTGACCGGTCCCAGTGCAGCACTACATGGAGCGACTTGGGTGGTGGTGGGGTAGCAGTTTTCTCTTCGTCCGCCCTTTGTGCTATGCGCCGCCGGGATCTAGAGTGCAACAATTCAGAGATGATAACTGTCGAAACAGGAGCTACAATCATTTCCTGTATGTACCGTCCTCCAAGACACGATAGTCTTGCATTCTGCAACTCATTCAGTCCTCTTCACCCCCTCGTTGACAACCGTCCAGTAATTGTCGTGGGAGACTTTAACTCCAAGAACAATGAGTGGAACAACGCAGACCCTACGAACACTGCAGGTAGACACATGCAGTCCGCCTTTGACGACTATGGCTTCACTATGGTCTCCAAGAACCATGGAACGAGGCCAACTAAAGATTCTAATCCGTCCCTAGACCTGATTTTAACTAATATGCCCCATCTTGTCACTTCATGTTACACATCCATGCCCATTGCAGACCACTGTCCTCTATTTTGCGCATATTCTCCACCAGAGAAACGCCACTCTAGAAGTACTGTCAACGCAGCCGCAGTCTCCAGAAAGGTTGACATGCACCTCCTCAGGCAGAAACTGAGCACACTACCATTGACCGAATGCATGCAGGGCACCAATGTGCACATCAGTTTCAGATGCATGGCCTACTCTGCACTGCTGGACCAGGCAATTCAGGCAGCAACGACCATCACACGCCGGAAAAACACCCAGTCGAACCAACCATGGTTCACAAAAAAACTTAAGACGCAACGTCAGCGAACTAACCGCCTCTATGTGCTCCACCGAAAGGAGCCACTCAACGATTCCTTACGAGCTGCATACAAACTCTCGCGCAACCTGTACCACCGGTCATTAAGAGCCGCCAAGGACACATACTTGTCAACGCTCGGATACACAATGCTTGGCAAGGAAAGAAAGGGTGGCTATGCGTGGTGGAAACGTGCCAAAGCAATATGCAATATTGACCAAACAAATAAAAAGGCAATTCCAGACCTGCAGAACGGCAATGAAATTCACAAAACAGATCAAGCGAAGGCCGAAACGCTGTGTACCTTCTTTGCCTGCCAATGCACCACTCAGTCAACGCCGCCGAATACTGTAGCAACTAGTATAACAATCAATGAAGCCGACGTCGATGGGAACAAATTTGGATTCGGAAACATACGCCCTGTTGAAGTCTTCGATGCAGCAAAGAGGCTGCAACAACATAAATCATCATCAGACATCAACCTGACAAACCGTATACTAAACCAATTCGCAGATATCCTTTCCCAATCACTATCAGTATTGTTCAACTAGAGCCTTGATGATGGTGTGTTCCCGTCCTCCTGGAAACCATCCACTGTAATACCGGTGTACAAGAATAGAGGTTGCGCCAAAGAGCCTACCAATTACAGACCTATATCCCTTCTCCCATGCATAGCGAAACTAATGGAAAAGATTCTCTCGGAACGTCTACTTCGATACTTGATGACCCAGGGTGTAATTTGTAAAGGTCAATTCGCATATGTACGCAACAAGTCTGTAACGGACCAACTTATCTTGCTAACCCAATCAATGGCTGTAAATATTGATAATGGCACTAATTTTGACCTGATATCTCTAGATTTCAGGAAAGCTTTCGACCGGGTCGACCACTCTATACTCCTAAAGAAATTCGGTAAGATTGCTACAGCTTCGTCAGTAAAATGGCTGAAGAGCTTCTTAGGGGATCGACAAATTGAAGTGAAGGTACATAGCACTAAATCGAAGAAGCGGAGCATCAACTGCGGAGTGCCTCAAGGTTCCCACCTTTCACCACTCCTATTCCTATTCTATATAAATGACCTGCCCAACGCTATGCAACATTGCACGCAATATCTATTTGCAGATGATGTCACCCTCCTACTGGCTTACAAACCTGAAGACACCCTCGCCAGTAGAGCGAACATGCAGTCTGATCTCGATGCATGTCAAACATGGGGCAGGAACAATGGAGGTGAATTCTCAGCAAGCAAGACATCCGTGCTGTGCCATAGAGCTATCAATGATACACCTACTGCAGGAATCCAATACCAAATGTACAATGAGCCATTAACGGTGGTTTCCGAACTGCAACATCTTGGCATCACCTTGACCGACAACCTGGATTTCCGCAAACATGTCGCCTCAATAACTTCGAAGTTCAGATATCGAGTGCACCTACTGTCAATTATGTCCCAGCAACTTACGCCTTCGGCAATGATCATACTGTACAAAGGGTTCGTAAGACCTTTGATCGAATATAGCTGTACGGTGTGGTCGTTTGGATCTAATAAGAAACCCATGACCACTCTTGATCAATTACAGGCAAGGTTTGCTAGAGCTCTACTGAAAAAGAAAAAAATTGCATTTGATTACACTTCTTCCAAATCTGTCTTAAATTCTAAATGCTCCCTAGAGTCACTAGCCTATCGTCGTCAAATCATCAGTCTCACTACTTTTCACAGATATGTTTTCCATCATCGTGATTACCTTGCTGATTTCCATTTCAAGATTACGAATAGTGAGCGACGACCAAATAAAATCATTCTTCCCAAATTTAAATCATTGTCTAAGTCTCTCTTCATGTTCCGAACTGCTATTCTATGGAACTGTTTACCCCCCAGTCTAACATCGGAAGCCTCGCTCTATAAGTTCAAAGCTGCCCTCAGGAAATTTACAGCTGACTATGCTTATGCAATCAACGGAATTCCGCCACCTTGCAGTTGATTTTCCCCATTTCTCTCCTCATCAATCCCTACTTGTCTTTGTACATACATCTACATCTACTGTTCTTTCAATCAAATGAACCCCTCGATAGGCACATTGCCTTTGGGTCATTTCATAATAATAATAATAAATAATAATACAAAGAGAGAGGGTGTTAGCCAACCACGGCAAGGAAGGGAGAAGGGGAGGAGAAGAAAAAAGGAACCGGCATGGATAAGTAGTGATTGCAACAAAATGAGAAACGCAAAATCAAAGTCAAGGCGCGACAAGGCTCTTAAAAAGGCGGAGGGAAGAAAGGTCCTTAGCTTCTTGGGGAAGTGCCAGCCACGCAGAGTACGCAGTGAAAAGGGGAGAGTGAAGTAGAAAGGAGGACTTGGGTTTCGGAAGGGAAAGGGAGTTTCTCGTGCTACGGGAAGAAAACCAGTTGAAACAGTGGAGGTGAGGTGGACACAGATTGAGTTTGAGAGAATGGATAAGGGTGACAAGATGTGAATTACGTCTCTTAGACAAAGGGGTAGTGTGAGCAAGGACATAAAGGGTGGAAGATGGGAGCATGCGGGGTTTCCGGAGGAGGATTTTTAGAACTTTTTTGTGCTGAATTTCGAGCTTTTCAGCACGGGTTGTGGAAATTCCAGCCCAAGCAGTATCTGCATAATCAAAAATGGGGCGTATGTAAGCTGAGTAAAAGAGGAGTTTACAAGAGATTGGGAGATGGTAACAGTGAGAAGAGAGGATTCCTAAAGATGAACTTGATCGTTTACATTATGTAATCGATGTGGGGGTCCCATGAAAGATTAGAGTCAATGAAAATGCCAAGATGCTTATGGCTGGAGACTATGTCTATAGGCTGGGGGAAAGTGGGATGGAGGAGGGGCGGAACATCAGGCTGAGAAGGAAAGAGCATGATTTTAGTTTTAGACAGATTGGGCGATAACCGCCAAGACGACATCCAGGAAATTACTCTTTGAATCCCGTTAGCTAGGTTACTCATCAGGCCAGTGATGTTAGGAGATGCCCGTAGGAGCGTTGTGTCGTCTGCGAATAGTGATGTGCCCGGGGCAGCTGCGGGCAGATCATTGACGTATAAGATAAAAAGAAGGGGGCCGAGGATGGAACCCTGGGGAACTCCGGATAGTACTGTTGTGTCGGCTGAGGACGTCCCATGTACCGTGACGTACTGCGTTCGCCCAGTTAGGTAAGATGTCAGCCATAGCAGGGGATTGCCGTCTACAGTAAACCATCCACGAAGCTTGGCCAAGAGCCCCCGGTGCCAGACGGTATCGAAGGCCTTGGCAAGATCGAAAAAACAGATCCCGACT